TTGCGTTTCATCAGCCGCGTCAGATTTGCATTCAGTTTTCCGACTCATCAAATTCCAATTGCATCATTAAACGGAATTTTTAATGCCACCCTCGCTATCAGCTCTTTTTCTCTCAGTGTTTGGGTAGTCCTTTGCATGTTCTGTTGCCACTGCATCTATATAAATTGTGTATATATATTTATGTAACTATATATTTATTTATCTATAAGTATAGCTCCTCAATTACAAATGTCCTTTAGATAAATTCAATAGCACACAAAAGTAAGGCTGCCAGCCGAACCGTTCAGAGCTCGGAACATTTATATTTTTAAATGAATCGAGCCAGAATCTAAAGGCGATGCAAAAAGAAAGCTGCAACAAATACCGAGCCGCATCATTCTTTTTCAAATGGTTAAAATTAAAAAACTTCTGAGGAAGCCTTGAAACACAAATAACTTGGGTTCGATCATTGGCTTTATCTAACCGTATTTGTTAAATGGCAATTTTGGGCAGTTATCATTCAGTTATATTCAGCAGAACTGGCAGTTATAAATTGGAAATTAAATTATTTCATTAACATTTGCAAAATGTGACAAACCAGGGTTTGAACCACCAACTTTACTAGTGGAAGTGGAAGTCGATGCGAACAAGCGACCATGTTTAAGGAGTTGCAGCCCTGAAAAAAACGTAATACTTATATTTGTCTTAATGATCTATCTATAATTTATATACTATCAAATATTTTACATAAAACTTATTCTATTTAAATGAGCTCTGTGGTTAATAGAGATCGGAAGCAGATTGAAAGCTTTGCGTTGTCTAGTTGGATCCGATCCAAACTACGGCTGGTTGATCAGGCGACCCGAAGGTCGGTAGGTTGTTGTAGAGGTTTTCGCCTAATAAATCTGTACTGCTGGACAGTTTAGAGTAACGACGAATGCATTAACATGTATGATATAAATTTTAATCGGATATTAGCTGCTTTGGGAAAAGAGAAATAAAATATATGTTTCCTTATGCCTCAAGGCCTAAGTCGCTCTATATATACTTCTATTATTTTAAGTTAATTTTGGATTATTAGTTCGACAAGTGCTTGATTTGAATTCAATATAACTTGACTCTAAGAATTCATGAAGAGCTGCAGCATATCTCATAGGGAGAATTTCAACTTTGCCTTGCCCTTTATTTTTATTTTGAACGAATTCCACACGCGAGCTTGAATTCAAAGTTCAGATAATCTAATGCCTGCGTTTTAAATTCTTTATTATTTTATTTCGTTTAATTATTCTTTGCCTTAGCCTGGCTTTTGTTTTGTTTTTGGCAATATGTGTACACCCGCCCGCTGGCCAAGGCAAACAAATATCTGCGGCGTCGCCGACGTCGCCGCCGTCGCCGGTCATCGTCATCGACATCGGTCCGGGAACGAGATCGAGCTATAAAGATAACCCCCAACAAGCGAGCGGGCAGACGCCGACAAAGCGTTTGTATGTGTTCAGATTTGTTGTCGTATTTTTATTGGCATTCGACTGGACGAGCGAGAGGCCAATTTGATTTTACGACCATTTCAGTTCATATGATATCATTTTGCATCGGATTTGGTATTCGCTCGCTAGACGACCTCTTCACAAATCCAAGGAAATCAGAGCGTGCTCGACTATCAAATACCCTTTAGTATGGGGATCTATGGAGCTAAGTTATGTGACTTTGCTAAGAAATAAAGTGATCGAGCTTTGTCCGGTTATGGGAGCTGTCCATAATAGGAGCTTGACCTATACCACCTTCCAAATTTGCTATAATTTCAGCTGTTGTCTTCAAGAGTTTTGCATAAAAAAAGAAGGAAAAATGTTAAGTTCCTCATCTTACTTCAAGCTCATTATGTCCCATACAACACGCACTTACAGGGTATACGAAACAAGAAATAACTCGACTGGCGGCTACTTGTCTTTTATGCTCATCGAGCGCGACAATAAATTAAGTCAAGTGTAGCGTTTAATTGATTTTACTGGCCAAAAACGATTCTAATCATAGATTAAATATCGTTAAAACAATACAAGCACAAGCCCAAACAACAACAACAACGAGAACAACAAACAATAACAGGCGACAACACTAAAGGACCGCTTGACCAATAAAGTCAACAATCAAACCAAACAGCTACTCCCCCCGCCACCCCCCTCAAACAGACCGAACCGGCCGGGCGTCCGTTCTGAGTTGCCGCCCGCTCCAAGAGTGAGCTTGGGGCGGCTGCCGGGCAAACAAATTTGCAGCACAATAAGTTGTCGTTGTTGTTGTAATCGTTGTTTACCAATATGTAATCCTTAGCAGCAACAAGAGAACAGCCTGCCGAGCCCCACACCCGCCCTCCCGCCACGCCCTGTTCGCTTCTGCTGGAGCAGAGCTGGCCTTGAATTTCAATTGGCTGACAGAGAGACGGCGAGAGAGATGTGTCCTGGCTGCTGCTTGAGCCTGTGCAGGCTTTTGCTTACTTAAAGCTAATCTACATGCTATTTAAGTATATAAATATATAGTATATGCACGTAGAGAAATATATTTTAAAAAGTCGGAACAGCGGCAGCTAAAAACGCCGCGTCGTTCGCTAACGAATCAAATAAATTTGTTGGTCAATTAAAAAACTGCAAAACGCGCACAATTTCCACATGTGTGGCAACAACTGAAACTGCAACAGCAACAACAGCGGCAGCCACAACTAACCTTTGCCCAACACTGCAACCCCTTCCCCTCCCAGCTCCCCAGCCACGACCCTAGCAAGCTTTTGCCACGGCCCTGCCCCCGTGGCGCACTTACCCGCTGATGCTGCTGATTTTTGCTCTAATGGCTGCCAACGCCAAATGAAAAGCGAAGCACCAAAAAAAAAAAAATTGCGTTACAAACCAATTTTTTTCGTCTGCATTCAGTTTTTTCCATTTATCCCTTTTTTGACTCCATTTATATATATATATTTTTTTGTTTTACAGCATTTTCATGATTCTCACACGTTGTGACTTTTTTGTGACTAGCTTTTGGCCAATTTTTTATACACATCTTTTTTTGCAATTTTTTATGAGTTCTATGTAGTATTTTTTTCCGCTGAACTTTGGCCGTAAACTAACTTTGTAGGGCTTCGCAGAACCAACGGTGTGATGGAGGGAGGGGGCGGGGGTAGGGTGGCGATAGCAAAGGGGGCTGGGTGCTGGTCTGTTAGAGCATTCGACGAGCAGCAGAAGCGACAGGAGGTGGCGTTAGTTATTAGTCGGGTCTGCCAGGGGTGAGTGCACATGCGAATGGCTCTTAACCCGAACCGAATGCAACTGAAGCACGATTTAAGCCAACTACCGGAGAGATTATTTATACGGTTTCGATATAAAGCGTATATACTTGCAACATTAAATAAAAAGATTTCTTTTTAAACATAAAACCAAGTGCAGAATGCCGATTCGAAGTAATAAAATTCAATTTACAACTACTGAAGAATCGATTACAGCTTCGTCTTAATGTTTGGAAGATTTATTAAAAATGTTGTTTTTTACGGAGAACAAACTTCAGTTATCACACATCAAGTCTTTTAACATCGATTTTATTTTTAATATTTTTTAAAATTATTTAAATACAATTTGACTAAAAATATATTTTGAAATTTCTAAATTTTAAAATACAAACCATTAAATAACAATTATTTAATGTATAGTAAATATGTGTTTTATGAGAAGTGCATAGTAATAAAAGTCTATAAAGTGTTCCCCAACTGTACTTTGCACAAAATTCTTTTTAAGAATCTATCCCTCTTTCGAGCCCCCAATGCTTGCGTCTGATATTACTTTAATTTAAACATACCTCATGCAATTGACCTTAATTATACCCTGTATTGCTTGACAATAATTATACCCTGTAGCCATACAAAATGGGCTAAGAGATGTGGCATGGCTTTTTGTGTTTGCAGAAGTAGGCTTCTCCGAACCCATAAAGTGTGTACATGTATTCGTCATCAGCAATAATTGTAGAGTTGATATGGCCTTGTCCGTTCATGTAAACGGTAAACGATCTCCAGGAACTATACAAGCTAGAGACTGAAGTTTAGATCAAGTTTAATTTTAAATTATCGATGGCTTGCGCCATTTTCATGATATCGATAACAGCTGATATTTAGATTAAGTTATTTTTGCTTATTTTGGACATCATAACAACTATAGAATGTTGGATGTGGGCTTTCGTATAGCTTACTCAGATCCAGAACTTTTTCTTTTTCTGGATATATGACTCAATTTTCCTCACAAACGCGTTTTAAGAGGAATTGGCATACGCCAATTTGTTTGAGTTAGACGAGACTGAAGATTTCTGAGGTTAGAAGGGTGTGGATATGGAGGAAGTTGATGTGACGCTTCGTAGAGGGCATTTCCTAGTCTAGCACTCCCGTCTGTTGTCTGATTTGCTTGGTTTTATTGCTGCGAACCCAGAATCAACACTCGTTTATTTATTTTTTTTTTGGCCCGCCCGTTCTTCTTGCTGGTCATCTGAACCCTTTTGCCCCCGCTGCGCGATTGTTGCCCAAAATTGACACCGGCTGGTTGCGCTCGGGCGAAAACTATATAAAAATGGAGCGCAATTTGCGTTTGGCGTTGTGCATTTGGGGTGGCAGCCGCCAGAAGTGGCTGACTGCCACCCGGTCCCGTCTGCCTGGGTCCTACGCTGCTGCACTCGAGACCCAAACGACTGCCAATTTCATGCTACGCTTTACATTTGTTGCTGTGTGAGCTTCCCACTCCCTCCCGCTGCTTTTTCGAGTTTTTTATTTTGTTTTTTTGTTGGCTTTTTGTTCGTGTTTTTACTGATGCAAGTTTTTATGATTGTGGCCCGTGTCTGGCATCCCTCGCTGGCTGCCCCTTCAGGGCGGCCGATTGAAAAATGTATTTGGTCTGCGTGCGGCTACTGCGCCTGCTCGGGATCTGGCAACGTATCGATTGCTGATAGCCAATAGCCAATAGCCAATAACCAATAGGTAACCTCTATCACTTGGGCGTGCCCAGTTGTTATTCTAGGGGTAGCTGGACCTGGATCGCCGAATCCGACTGCAACTCCAATTTGAATATCGACCATCGGGATGCCGCATTCGGAGCGCCCAAGCTCGCCCGAGGAGCACATTTCTGACCAGTACTTCATCTATCGGCTGGAGCATGATCTCTACGAGCTGTTTGAGGAGCAGCAGCTGCTGCTAGACATTGTGGCGCAGCAGCAGGAGCGTCTGGAGCGTCAGCTGGAAATGCAGCGTCTGCTGTTAAGTGAGCCGCCGGTCAGATTGGCCACCCCGTTGCCGGAACTGCTGCCGTTGCCGGCACCACAGCCGCTGCAGCTGGAGGAGATCAGCGATGAACTGGCACCAGAGCCGGCAACGGCCGTAGAGCCCGAGCTACTGGCCATAGCCGAGGCGGATGAACAGACGTCCACGCTGTTCAAATGCCCGGAGCTGGTGCCGCCCTTGCCGCCTCCGCGCTGCATCTGCACACAAATGCAGCGGCAGGCTCGACGTGGCTATCGCCAGGTGGCCTTGCCTTTCCTGCAGGATAGCAAGGGTGCCAAGTGCACGCCGCCCAAGCGGAGCGGCCTGGGTTACGATGCGCCCTTTCCCTACCCCAAGCGCATGGCCAAGAGTCGCGAGCGACGCGCCCTATGTAGGTGCAGCCAAGTCGTAGGCCCAGCCGTATTCCAAATCCTAACATCTTCGTGTTCTTCATTTTCAGTCATCTTCACGCTTGTCGACAACCTCGTGCTGCAGCTGCAACGCTGCATGAGTCTGGCCGAGACCGGCGCCCTTCCCTTGCCCCTGGCCATGCCGACCGCACGTGCCAGCAATGTGGTCATCGTGGAACTGGAACCCCCCAGGAAGGAGGCCGCGTCTCAGCCGTCGCCTTCTGTCACTGTGCCAACTGGTGCCCTGCCGAAGCCGAAATTCAATCACATGGAGATATCTGCCAAGCGCTCGCCCAGAACGAAGGCAGCCAAACGCTTACACAGTAACAAAAAATATAATCTATTCCGAGACAGAATCTCGAGTCGGACGAGAATTGACAATACATATAATTACAGAGCAACTGAAGAAAACATCATCACAGCTGGATACGGAAATAGACCTGGACTGTGAGTTCGGCATGGATCATATTGAGAAGTTTCGGGCGGATCGCGTGCGTGATGATGAGCACATTCGCTTTAAGACCACGCCCATACGCAAGCATAAGCGACAGTCCTCACAGGGAACGGTGCAACTTGCCGAGGAGGTGCTGACCTCCGATAAACTGCAGCCGGCCCAAGGAGTCGAGTCCCCGATTGATTGCCGTTTCGGGGCAGAGAGCGAGGATATTGACAACGAGGTTCTGGCCGTCGCATTGGCCTCGCTCGCCATTAGCGAAGATCCCAATCCTCAGGCCAAGCCCACGATGCCCGGCTGGTACGAGAACTGCCTGGCCGCACCTGAGTCCCAGCTAGAAACGCGCCCCTGCACGCCCGAAATGACGCCCTTCTCCCTGCTGCCAACTGGCCTGCATAGCAACGGCTTCATCAGTCTGATGCCCAGCACTTCGGCTCAGGCGCGCGCCCTCTCGCTGGCCATGTCCGGACGTCGTCCCGAGTCCTCGCACTCGTCGTCGCCCCCGTCGCCGCTCTCTTCACGCTCGCCGATGTCTTCTTTGCTACAGCAGAACCCCATGGAATCGATACAGACCTTTCCAGGTAAGTGACAGCATCCAAGCGTATCTGAACTAGTTCTGAAGCGGTTCATTATTTGAATAGGAAAATGAATGAATACAATGGGTTTGAACCACCGAGAGATCAGTCCAGATGAAAGCACGAACGAGTTCAGAGCTACACAACGGATATACAGTGAGATCTCGCTTTGAAGAGAAGTGTCCGCCTCAAAGAGGGAATAGCCTGATTCATAATGATTTGAGATGTCCGCTAAAGAGAGGTGTTCCCCTATAAAGAAGTGTTTGTTAGTGAAGTTTTCACTGTATTAGAGCATCAAAACATATGCTATACTATTTTTAATAGCACCTCAATCAATGAGTAGGTTATGGGATTCAACCACTTACTGGTTCAGTACTCCGTTTAGAGGCGAATTAGTTATAAATTCAGCTTCTAAATATTAATATAAGTATAAATATAAAAACTGCTGGTTCGAAGTAAATTTTGGGTCTTTTAATGTATTTGATATGAGCGGGAAAAAGTGAGCATGTATTTTAAGTACCTCCAGGTTCTATCATCTGCAGACTTTGCTATCAACTGCTAGCCACTCTTTCGTTAGATTAACTTGTTAAGAATTGTAAGCGTCAAGCATAGAAAAACGGCTTAGCGAAGAACAGGAAAGGTAAACCTTGTCGTCCTTTAATCTGGGACATTTAATACACATATACATATATCTATATATTGTTTTTTTAATTAGAAGAGCTCGTAATTTAATAAAGCTCACATAATTTAATTACGATTTAGATCGCTTCTCTGGCATATCTATAAATCAGTTGGCTTTCGCACACGTTCTAGACGCTAATGGAAATAAGGTTATTGTGCCGCGCCAGTCGGTCAATGGAAATGAATTAAATGCCGGTTCCTGCGCTGGATTTCGCATGGGCTGCGGGCAGGCCATGTGCTCGACAGGTCAGTGGAAGTGCAGTAGTAGCAGCTGCCTCCTTGGTATTAATCTATTGACATGCTGATTGCAGGTCAAGTATCGTCCCCACTGCCGCCAGGACCACCGCCACCATCGCCTGCATACAACCACTTTACCTATGATAACATCAATCCATTGGCCAACCTGTCGGGCATATCAAGCGGAAAGGAGAACGGCAACATTCAGTCAACACGAATGGATATCTGTGGCGAGGATTACGCTGCCTCTTCGCCTGGTAAGTCTGCCATATACTAAGAAGGGTTTGTTGGTTACAGCTAATTGATTAGGATATAGATATATATATATTAGTTAGGAGAATAGAAATATTATATTGTAATGTTAGGTGAAGTTCGACTATCTTATGAGTTCGAGTTCTATTAATGAGAATCGCCTCATGTGTATTTACATAAACAGCTCTTCATATGTTCTTCTCTTTTTTATTTTACAGACCATCGTTAAAAAAGGCTGAGTTAATCCATTTTTAAATTGTTTCTATAATATACGCGTCCATTCGAATGGATAGCTTAGATTTGCATTAATATTTCACTTGTGGAACCAAACCAAATTATGTATGTTAACTATTAATACAAAAAAAAAAAAACAAAAAACAAAAATATATTAGTGGTTCGGTGTTGTGAATACGCATGTATAGATATGTATTTTCTTTTTTAAGTACTCAAATAAACTAAATTTAGCATTGTGTATTTGATTGAATTATTTATGTAAATTCTTCGCTGGCATTTCAGACTAGGGCCAACTAATGTAAGAGAAACAAATAATGCAGTATTAAAGTTGCTGTCGATAAGCTTAAAAGCAACTATCGATAACTGGATGTGGCTTCTAAGATGCTATCGATAATATTTAAAGCAACTTGATAATTTTCTTAGCCACGTTTCTATTTCAGTTTGGAAGCAAGTGTTGATGATTTGGTAATAAATTTTAGCTATCGATAATTATCTACTACATTTACGATAGTCTGATAATCGATAATTTTCTTTTAAGCCGCACTTAGGATTTCTATGCCAACATATTAAATAAAGTATGTGTTTTGTTCAAGTTTGGCCAAAATTGTTTTACCCTTATTTGAATTTCCAATCAAAGGAAATATCTCTGTTTCTGGAACTGAAAAACAAGGCAATAGAAAGTATCGACATTTAAAGTACATGTATTATAACAAGGGTCACTCGTCGTAACTCTAGTCGAATCAATTTGCTTTGCATGGGCTCAAGACGAGGCGGTTGGCCGCCCCACCCCCAACCCGGCCACGGCAACAACTCCGCTCAGGCTAAAAGACCCAACTGGCAGATAAAGGCAACAGCACGAAAGACAACAACTACAACAACAGCAATAGCATTCAAATGGCAACGGCAAAACGGAGCATCAAATCAAAAAACAATTACGCGGCAAATGACATTATCAAATGTCAAATGTCATGTTTGGAAAGCTATTGTTGTTGTTGTTGTTGTTGTTGTTGCTGGGGCTCCCCAACTCCGCAAATTACCGAAAAACCTAAGGAAACCCTCAGAGTTAAAATAAAAAATAAATAAAAACAACAAGAGACAGCAAAATGCAAAGCAGCAGCAACGCTGCCGCATCAAATTTGTTCAAGGCAATTTTTCAATTCATTGAAGTGGAATCCGTAAGAAAAACAAAAAAAATATATATATCTATATATATGTATAGAGAAGAGAACCGAAAAGTCGACGTCGTCTGGAAATGTGCGCTGTTTTAGTCGCGGGCAAAACGCGCGCACAAAGCACTAAGCGCCACTTGACTTACGGCCCGCGTTGCCGTTACAGCTGGAGCTACTGATACAGATCCACAGGGCAGCCTGCCTGTCAGCCAGCCACTCACTCCATCCTGACCCCAACACCCAACCCAGCCCCACCCCACCCTGCTGGCCAAACTTAACAAGCTGCCAGTCTGTCTCTATAGTCCATAGTATCTCAAATCAAAATCTAGATTTTTGATTCTTTTATACACGCGTATTACTTGGACCCCTCATCCCTCAGCCGCAGCCCTTCCCTTGCCACAGCGACCGCCACTTGGGGAGGTCTAGAGTGGGTGGTGGTGGTGGGAGGGGGGGGGGGAGGGGGGCAGTTCGTTTGTTGTTCGTTGTTTGGTTGTTGGTTGTTTGTTTGTTTGGTTTCTTTTTGAATTGGTTTTCGCTTTAAGCTCCTCGCTTGTAAATAATCCTTGGCAGCTTTTGTATTGCTTTTCATTATTGGTAGCACTTTCTGCTATTACGACAGTTCCAATTGTGGCCAGCTTTAAAACGTTTTACCTCAGCACTGCCCGTAATCAACACGCTGTTACCTTTTAAGTAAGATGTATATAAATCATGGTAGCAGTCAGCGTTACCTTTTCACATATGGAAAATGTTAAGATCGGTGTATAATATACGTCCCATGAAAGTCAATATGCCGCATCAAAGGTAGGGAATGTGTGCTGACATCAATTGCAAGGGCGAGCATAAGCTCTAGATTGTTTCTTCAATTATAGTAAATTGCGACAGAGTAAACAAATTTGATTAATATGCAAAACTAGATTCAATTATTATTTTAAGTAAGGGAAATATGATATGATGAAATAGAATGAAAAGCTTCATTTAATTTGGTTGTCCGTCGTGAGGTCTTCTCCGGCAGAGACAGTCTGTAGATTTCTGGGGATTACAATATTGCGAGCTTAACACTCCGAAGAGCTTGGATTGGAAAGCTTGTGTAGTGTTTTATGGAGCAGTAGCCTACTCTTGATTATTAAATATGTAATTGAAAAATTGTATTTAGCCAATGAACGCATATTGGTTGATTTAAGATCTTGATGTCCAAAGGGTAGTTATATTTTTTTATGATTTGTTTATTTTCAATGTGAAATGCGCCTAAAGATTTATATACTATAAAAATAATATAATTTGCAATCTTTCGACTGAAACTTGTTTTCTATCTTACTCGTTCTCTCTATCTCTATGTGTATCCCTCTCTTTCTATCTCTCTCTTTTTCCTTCTCTCCCTCTTTATATCTTTCTCTCTCCCTTACTCCTTCTATACTTGGAAAAGTTAATAAAATAGAGATTTTAAAAGATAACTTAATTTTTAAAAATCCCTAATGTAGTACTTAAATAAATTCCACAGTGAAACCTGAAACCTCAAGCTGTTTGAAAAGCGAAAAATTTGAAAAATAAATTTTTATAGATAAGTTAGTTTGTAAAAATGCCGCACTCAAGTTTATGCCATAGTGCGAACTGCTTTATGCTTATGCGTTTAAGCTCCTTGAAAATCGAATGAGTTGAATCTTATAAATTGTAAAAGATAACTTAGTTTGACACAATGCTTCACATAGTGACTAAATTAACATGCTCAAGCTCTCAAGTGCTTTAAAATCTTTTACACCGTCTCGTTAGAGAGAAGAGTTAAATTAGAAAACATCTTTACTCTCATTTGCCAAAATGGATATATAAATTAATCATCATTTTAAGTTCGTGTCATCGCAACTTACTTCATTTGATGAATGTGTTAAACTGATCACTTAGCTCCAGAGACTGTGTCATTATTTTTATTACACATTTGTATACGTGCATGTACTCACCCTTCTGCATGCCTTCTTTTTGGGCTTATTGAACAATAAATGATTATTGTAATTTATTTGAGCCTGGTGGCATCCAGTCATTAGTACGCTAACCGTATCATTGGCGAACTGAAAACTATTAAGGCTTGCCCTTATGCTCGACAGAGTGTCTGTGTGTGTGCTTGTGAGTTAAGGTCCTTTGGTTATGGTAAACTTGACTGCCATTAGTCGTGAACGCACATATGTCACAACCTACGCACCATGAACCCGCACCATGAACCCGCACCAAGAAAACAAACAAACAAAGAGAGGAAAAAAGAAAAGAAAAGGAAATGAAAATGAAAAATGATCTCATAGCTAAAGCAAAATTGCATGATGTTGGCCAGGGGCATGTTTGAAGAGGTGTGGCGGCATTCATCCAATTGCCATAATTTATCTGTCACATGTCGAATGTGTGTCAACGTCAACCCGGCCAGTATGGCCACCCCCACCCCCACCACCACAACCACCTACTTCCTCCCCAGCACGGCCCACAATCGTCCATCGGCCCACCCACTGGGCAGGGATCTATGGCAATGCTGTCGGTCAGTTGTCATTAATATTTATTATGTCACATGCATGCAGTCCAACATTTTGAGTTAAGGGTCCTGAGCTACCCGCTACCGGATCCTGGGTCCCGACTCCAGCTCCAAACTCCGATTCCGATGCCGATTACGTGCCGGGGCAGCTGACTCTGGCTATTTTAATATGCTACATGCATATGAAAGTAGCAAAGGCTAAGCGCATTACAATCCTTAGCTTTTTACCACGTTCCTAAAACAATTTCAGGGAATCCTCCTTTAAACTTAAATCAAAATACTTTCAATACACTTTTTATTCGCTTTTCTCATATTTCAAGCAACATACGCCAATCGAAATTTGCATCAAACTGTTGTGAACAATAGAAATAACAATCTATTCTAACCTCTATTTCTTCTAAGACAAATAATAGAAAGGAAAAACAAATCTAATCTAATCTAATATATAAAAAAATTAATATTCAACTCGAACTTTAAATTTATTGCAAATAATTAAAATAAGGATGGATTCTTAACATTTTTTTTTTATAAGAATAGAAACAAATGAAGAGCCTTGAGAATTTTTGAAAAGTGCTTGGAAAATTGTTGAAAGTTTCGAAATGTTTTCAAGAATTTGACGAGAATGTTTCTTCCGTATACCCAACTTAGTCTAAGTGAAGCTATACAAGTGTACTAGGCGATGATCCAAAACTTGAAACACAGTTATTATGTCAAAAAAAAAAACAAATATGAATTGATTGTGTACACATTGCTAATGTAGGCGTGGCATATGCATTCACTGTTGCCTTTGATCACTAACTAAGTCTAAGTACCTGGGCGCCTGTCACGCCCACACCGCCAACCAGACGTCCCCTGATGACCCCAGACGCCGCACAATGGGCTCATTAGGCGTTTAATGGAATACGTAATGCCTGGCCAGTTGATAAAGTGTCCAGTGGGTGGCTGAGCACTACGATGGGCCCCTCGACGCGGTGGTTGATATGCCGGCGCGACCAAAACTAACAAACTAATCCAATATTTTTATTACGAAATGCCATTAAGGGTCATTGAATATTGTGGCATAATAAATAAATGGCCAGGCTGGCAACACACACACACACACACAGACACACTCACGACACATAAGAGAAAGAGAGAGGGAGAAAGGGATAGACAGAGAGGGAGACTATTGCTTGCGCCTGGATTATAATCCCAGCTATCAACGGCATCATTATTCAAAGACGGATTTACGCGACGATACACCAAAAATGTGTCTGCCTGTCTGTATGTGTGTGTTTGTGTGTGTGTGTGTGTGTGTGTGTGTGTGTGTGTGTGTGTGTGTGTGTGTGTGTGTGTGTGTGTGTGTGTGTGTGTGTGTGTGTGTGTGTGTGTGTGTGGTGTGGTGTGGGCAACTGACACATATACATCAAAGCGCCTTAACTACCCGACCAATGTGACTGACTACTCAAAAAGAGATTTTTTGTTTGTTTGCTTCTCTGCATGCTTTCTCTTCTGCCTATTCATAAAGTCTGTCACAGGTTGAAGCAAGAACAGCTCAATATAAAGGCACACACATACACGAGCATTATATTTATATAAATCGCTTGTATTTAATACAGCTTAATCCATATAAAAGCTTTAGCAGATTTCAAAGGTCTGCTATCAAATCGGTTTGAAGCTGGAACAATAACTTTTATTTCGGTTACATTCAAATATGCTTATACATAGAATACATTTTTTGAATAATAAATAAATGAAAAATAAATAATACAAATATTTATTTGATTTATAACTATGGGTGGAGGCATGGGGGTGTAGAGATATATGACCTGTATATACCTGTATTCTATAAGCACCATGTCAAAATTGGTAACGCTAGCTCTTAAAACCTAAGAGCTTTACCCATAAACAGGATATCAATATAGATTGCTTTGAAACGGGCCAAGTTACGGATTATCGGAAACAAACTCGTACTGCGCTGGCACTAGAAGAGCTTAAGTTCCAAATTTCAAGTCTCTAGCTCTTATAGGTTCTGAGATTCTTGCTTTCATACATACGGACGGCAGACAGACGGATGGACGGACGTACGGTCGGACGGGCGTACGGACAGACAGACGGACATGGCTAGATCGCTTCGGCTATTGATGCCGATTAAGAATATATACACTTTATGGGGTCGGAGATGCTTCCTTCTGCCTGTCACATACATTTGCACAAATATATTATACACCTATTAACCATTTTCAATGGGTTCAGGGTATAAAAACACTGGAAACGATCCACATACATGTTAAATATTAAATGAAAGGCAGGCTGATTAAGTTTATTGCAAGCAGCAGCACAATTCGCAGCATTCAACGAGCTGTTCCAACAGGTCACTTTACCACCAAAACCATGTCTCGTAGTGTGGAGCGGAGCTGGTGTCCGGAGCGGCCGCCAAGTCTGGGTAATATCCAAGCAGGTCAAACGACCAACGTGCGCTTAATTAGTCCGTTTTGTTTAAAACGATTTTGATGACGATGAAGCTGATTCTCCGGCACCATCATGCGCCACGCTCAGCTGCTGAGCCCACTCCGACTCCGTCGCCGAGCCCGACTCCAATTGCTACTCCGACTGCGATTCTGGTGTGTCCATTTTTTTTGTTCGGAGCTTCCTTCCTGCTGGTCTCGGCCTTGTTTGCCAGCAATTCAATTTGCTGGCCATGCACGTTATGTTTTTTATCCAGCTGCCACACCCACCTGTTTCAGTGCGCCCCCTTCCGCCGACCAGCTGGCCTGCTCTCTGTCTGTGTGTGTTTGCGTATGTTAATCGAAATGTTTGGCGGCTGCCCATGTTAAGAGTGGGCGTGGCATATCTGCTTGTTCTATTTTTTGGTTTTTATTTTTTTTTTTTGCGCTCGCCCCATGCACATGTAACGCGGCTTTGTTTAACATTAAATGGAGGTTAATACCTGGCAGCACGTCCTCGTCAACACAGCCCACGCGGCAGGGCGGTCAAGTGCAGCAGCCCAGGGTCTGGCTGGGGATCCATGGCAAATGGGGGCTGTGTTTGCTCTGGTAGATTGTTTGCCCGTCTGCATGCTGCACACACACACACACACACACACACACACACACACACACAGACACACACATCCATAGGCACGCAGCATTTGGGTGGGGCAGCTAATGTTATTGCCACCACATTTGATTGTTTGGCCGCCGTCGCATCGATGTCCACGGGCAACAAAGGTCCTGCAGGACTCGCGACTCGATTGTTGTTGCAAATAACCGAGTGATTTTACGGTTAATTGATTTTAAAGCGATTTCGCTTAAATGTTATCTCGGCTTGTTACTCTTGTCTGTGTGCCTCCGTCTGCATGAGCGTGGGCGTGGCATGGTGTAGACCAAGCCATCACCTTTATACCCTGTAAACATTTAACGACTGTGCAGGGGTATCTTCGCGACATCGTTTTTCGTATATCGTGGCACGCTTATTCAATTTATTCGATGTACGTCTAAACAACGTGTATACACTATATATATATAGAGGCCATCAGCTGATAGCAAATATATAATGGAACGCAAAAATTGCATATATAATCCCTCTGTAGTAGTGCGATTATCACGGGTCCTGTCCAATTTTTCAATATTACGCTTGACAAAGTCACGAAGCTCGGGTGGTAGTTCCTCTAATTCCAGTGGCGCCACAGCTGACACTGGCATTATAATCGGCACACCCTCCTGAGGGGCCATGCACACTCGCCCGCTCAACTGATAGAGAAGAAAATGGGCCGTGTTTGGGGATCGCAGCTTCTTAATATCTTCTGGCTTCGACCTTACAACCTTGCTGTCATTGAATTTGAACCAGTTGTTCATTTCATCCTTGGCCAGATCAAAGTAGTGACCCGAGTCCAGGGTATAACCATTGTGCACAATAGCTGCATACAGGCTATAGTGCACCGTATATGTCTGTTGCAGTGAAGCACCGTCGCACAGATTGAGTGTGATCTGTGAGCAAATCAAAGAAAATCCAGTCAAATAGTATAAAAGAGCTCGGTTAATATTTGCATCAAACTCGAATACTTATTAAGTTCAACCGATAGCCTACAGAGTCGAGCTAAGCAGTGTTCGAAGAAACGATTTACCATGCCATAAGTCATTCATAAGAACGCTGATCGAACTGTTCGAGTCGAACATGATGCTCAAACACAACCGAAATTGTTGAGCTTGCGTCGAGTTCGATCAGCTCGAGGATATTCGTTCGATTTAACCGTCGAAACTTGCCTGCAACTGGAACAGCTCGAGTCGAACAAATTCGAATCTTAACGTGCTCAACTGAAATAATTGTTCGTAGTGCAGGGCTCTATATATACAGAGAGCTAGTTATATAGGAACAATTTAAACAGCTGTAATCGTACAGCTTAATCAATGCCAGTTCAATGCTCTCTCATAGGATTTATGCGTTTCAATGTTTGGGAGGGAGGCATTACATTGCATTTAATTCAAAAGGATTGAAAAACGTATTCCAAGGATATGTATCCAGCCCGCATAGTAAATGCATATGGGTATACTGATCTTCTATAGATTGTACTCACCATATCATCATGGATCACTTTATACAAAACCTTAGTGCGCTCATGGGTCTGCCTATCGTAGTTGAACTGCTTTATGGTGAGGATGATATTGCGAGGTGCTCCTGTAATCTTCATGGAGCGCTCGCCATTGCAGAGCTTCGCGCAACAGATGCAGGCGTATTGATTGTCGCCATCGAGGGGCTCAGACGCACAGTATAAGTCGAGCAGTGCCTGCACTGTAAACTTGGTTCTTCTGGTGATCTTTCCCTGGGGGAACGAGAGCTGCAGCTCACGGAAGCTGTTCGAGTTGCGGCTCTCGTGGCGGCACTTGAGGCATTTGTATAGGGTGGACAGCTTGCCGGCGAAGGATTTGTTGGTAATGGACATCTCATCGCTGTAGGGTATAACCAGATCGAGGGGTATCATTGGATCGCTAAGTGTAATGGTGCTTACGTTGGGCCACTCCCAGCCCATGATCGCCTCGTGCTCATGGAGCATATTAAGCAAATGTCCAAGGTACTCGGAGCTGTCTTGTTGCACGCCGGGCATGAATTCCGGCGGGTGTGTGCCAATCAGCACGGACGTCGGCTTTAGTTTGGGGCACTTTGCATGGTGTAGAAGAGCGATCAGGTGCTGCAGCTCCACTATCATTTGCGATGAGCTGTGCAAGAGCAGAAAACTGCGCACAGAGTTTAGATTGGGTTTAGTTAAGGATTAAGAAAGTCCCTCGATATTATAAATGTAGTACTTACTCGGGAGTCATTGACAGCGCCTATATCGCGGAATTCATATAGCAAGTGTTGCCCATATTGACCAGACCTGCACGAGAATTGCGACGATTCTCGGCCTGCTCATTGCCAGATCCGCCACGTGATGTATTACTGGCAGACTTGCTCATTTTGAATGCTGACCTGATGGGCATACAGATACATAGAGATATTCTTTAAAAACTGTAAAAGCGATTTATCAATGAGCTAAGGCTCGTCAATCGGGATCTCAGCTTTGAGGTGCCTGTCGTTGTCATAACCGTTTTCTAGCTAAGACAAATTTTCAGATAGTCGACTATACTTAAATCTACGAAAATATCTGCAGAAGGTAAAAATATTTACAAAATTAATTTTATTATATTTATTCAATTTTGAAATTTAGTGTAAATTGCTAGAATAACAAAAGCTAATGCATTTCAGTTCGAACGAATAAATAAAATGTCAATGCGAAATACAAAATAGTCGTATATTTTTTGGTATATTTATCTGTGACTAGCGGGTATTATCCGGCTTTGTCTGGGCCAAGCATTTGTCGTTTACTTGGAACGTCACTTTGCAACCTATATATTATTTGTCCGATTTGATTTCATTTTTGATTCACGTTTCAAATGATATTCGACCCTTTTCTAGTCATTAACTGTAGACTTGCGAAGCTAGTGTTGCAAAACACACAACTTTCGTGATTTCCAACACTTAGTGTTTTGGTATTTTTTCAGCATTATGCAACGAATAATACTAATTGAACAGTGAAAAGTAAAGAAGAAGATCCCGATTTAAAAATGGCGCCAATGACAAAATTTGTGTAATTTGTTTAAATTATAAATGCAGTTAAAATAAGAATGAGAAGGAAATACTTAGCTCTACTCTACGAATACTCATAAATACTCACGAGTACTCGTTCACTAGTGTGCAAGCTTTGGTCAATCTATCAAAGTCTGTTTCTTTGGAGAAATAAATTAAATTATATTCAAAAATGATTAATTAAAATGTTAAACTGAACAATTTTTGTTTCGAGTTGTATGATTGAGGGACGTGATCATAATAACAGCTCTAAGGTTAGCTAGATCTGGCTCCGGGCCTGTTATGGGCGAATACAAGCCATAAAGGTTGCTGAAACAACCCACAATGGTAGATTGGGGACGGGGGCAAAAAATTGCACTCGGGTGTTCATTAAAACAATAAAAAGGACACACACACACAGCCACACACACAGACACACGGAAATGGGGGCATGTGGGCAAACCGAAGCCTAATTATGATTTTTCTAATCTGACAATGGTCAATTCGTAGTTGGAGTGTGTACGATTCTTGTGCCTGCTGGGGTTGCCGTGTATCATAAACTCCAACTCCAACCGATGTCGCCCCCAACCCCTTTGGCCATTTTCCCCACTCTATTTTCATTACCATCTGTATCTCTATCTGTGCGTAACGCAACGTAATTACACAACATTTTTACTTAGACATTTCTCGTTTGGCTATTTGGCCATTGGTTTTACGAGCGTATTGCACTTTTGCGGCCATACAACATGGAACATCGGCAGTAGCAACCCCCAAAAGATCCGAAAGACACCGAAACCGAAACCGAACCCAAATCCGTAACCGAAACTTGGTCTGGCACCTGTGCTACGAGACATATCCCATGTACACTTCGTACACTCGCATACACGACGTATCTGTCCAGGCCAGTTTGTCTCTCAGTCTCTCATTCTGTCAGTCTCTCCGTCCGTCCGTCCGTCTGTCCGTCCGCCTGTCTGGCATTATTAGCAGCTTGCGTGCAGAAGCATTTATGAAATTCTCAACCCTATGTGGTTGTAGTTGGTCCAGCCGTGAGACCGCTGTCAGTCTCTCGTTTAACATTTATGAGGCGACGCAAAATGATACGAAAACGTTTCGTCATAAACTTCAATAATCGTAAATATAGATTTCTCCCTGGCCAAAGGGCGGACGGACAGCTACCCAGCTTTTCCAGCTTTCCATCCCAGTCTCAGTCTTTTCTACTACGATGAAATTAATAGTTTTAGGCTTTCGCTTTCGCTGACGTGAGTTTGAGCGTCGCATTTCATTTTCATGCTGCCTGGTCAGTTATATTGCCACACACTCACCCCCCAACCGTGCCAGTTCCAGTTCCGGCCACGTCTCTGGCTTCTCTCAGCCGCCCTGCCACTTCCGTAATGCACATTTATGTGTTTGCCGGCCACTGCCGACATTTTTATCGTTTCGTCAATGTCATAAATTCTGATCTAGTAGCTGAAATTGAACTTAATGCGATGCTCTGGCCAGCACACACGGAACCAAACATAACAACAGCTACATATAGACTTTAGCGTATATTGTGCTCATGTGCTATTTCTTGATTCATTCCCCAAGTCTTGCACTTGTCGGCCCTATTAGAATCTGCTGAAGGTACAGTTGTGCTCAGCTTCAGTTGTGTGGTTCCTTATTTCTTCTTAATATTATTGGCAAAGCTAAGTGAAATAGGGAAAGCCCACATCTAAAAAGGGATTTCTTTTTTATAAACATAATACATGATGCCATGCACTGCGATTTGTCCGATTTTAATCAAACATTATATTGACATTTATCGATAAATGCATTGCTAATCGATTGTGACTTGAGTAGACAGCTTCAAGAGAATCGATTTATAAATATATAAAAAAAATGACATTTTCATCGATTGAATATCTGTTAAAATGTGAAATATTAAATGTATGCAAAGTTCAAAATTTGTAATGATTTATCTGTTTATGCTAACACAAAATGAACGTTTTTAGATATAAATGTGCGCCTCGATAATTATCGATCAAAATCTATGCTCCAAAAAAATTATACATCGCTTTGTTTTGCTTGGACTCGTGCGACTTGTGGAGCGGGCAAATGACAACCCTCAGATTTTTGCTGGCACTGGCGACTGATTCGACTGGTTATTTATGTGGCAATTAGCAGTGCATGCTTTTAGGCCCTGGACGCGCAATTTTAATGACCATTCGAAGCGCATTTCGTTGTTGGCACTTTATTTTTATTTATTTATACAAGTTGGTCGCATACCGATTGTTTGTATTGCTATAGGGCCGGGCTTATCAAGATGTTCGCTCGCCAGTTCTAATTGATAGGGCGGGCACGCCCACAGGCTCAGTGAACCGCCCACAAGCAGAAACCGTTCGATATTCGCGTGCTCATAATTTGCGCTGCTGCGACCGAAACAGGAACATAAACCAAAGCCCGAAACCCCAAAAACTAAACCCAAAAGCTGTCAACTATGTGAAAGTTTGACCATTGATCGACTATGATATACCCTGTGAGTAGTTGCACAACAGAAATAGAAAGGGTTTAACTCACACATTCCAAATATGTATCTTTGGCTGCATGAACTTGAAGTTCTTCAGGCTTAATCCGATAACCGATAATGTGTAGAAAACGTTACATAGAGAAGCTAAAGAATGAAATTCTGTTTTGAGAGATCTATCCATTATATAGTTTGATTATTGTACAGGGTAAATATAAAAAACCTACAAACACATTGTTGACTAAACTACTAAACCAACGTGCCTGGAGTTGAGTTGGGTTTGAGCAGAGTTCGAGCTGGAGCCGGGCGCCGATTCCTAGTCCGACTCAGACTTGATTTGCACAATTGCTTGGTATTTGTTGGCGTGTCGATCGCTCATAATTCGCGGCCCGACATGCAAGTAAACAAAATCGAAAATTCAGCACGAACATTATCGATAAAATTGCCATTAAGTTGAGTTTGTGAAGTTCGCCCCAAACGCCCAGCGGCCTTATCGATAGTTCGCATCGCGCGCCGTGCCGCCAAAACGCAACTCGATTTGGATGATGAATGACGCGCGATTAAACGGCCCAGATAGCCACGCTACTACTACGCCAACCCCCACTCCGCACTCCGCACTCCGCACTCTACTCTCCACTCCACTCCACTGCCAATCCCAAGCCCAATCCCAATCCCAGCTAACCAGCACTGCCTGGCAAATTAAGGGTTAAACTCTGGCTCAAATCGTTCGATAGTTGTGCCGGAAACTATGCGGCCTTGCGTCACACGAGTCCAAAACGCAAATGCAGATCTGATAGATAAGAGTATTTACATTTACATATACATATGGTTATAGCTAGCTTAGGGTTAGCTCAAGGTTTCTTGCTCGAATCGGGCTGAACACTCGAAATGGAGCTATAGAGGTAAAGGTTGACTAGATAATGGAAACAACGCAATTCTCTGTTTGTTTGGGTACCAATTTATATATAGGGTGGCATAAAAATACTCTAATTTGGACAGATTGTGCGAAAATAAAAAGCTCTTGTAAATGATCCAACTCATTTAAACATGTTTGGTAGATGCCAACGTTGGGCAGAGATCAAATTTTGCACGCGATTTCTTTATGAAAATATGTACGACTTACGGTGTTTTCTGTAGAATGGGAAATCAGAAAGTTGAAATTGAATTGTTTTGAACCTTAACCTGGGTTAATGCATGTGCGAGTCAAGATGCATGATCTGAACTTTAATGTAGGGAATTGGAATCGGAACCAGGGACAATTTCTTTTCGGTTTGCAGAGTAATGCGTCATTCGGTTTAATGAGTATAAGTTGTAGTAAGTGGGACGATTTAATTTGATCTTTGGCTTTTATTGGTTTGGTAATCGGGTCAATTGCACTTTCAGCTATTGAGTGCTCGCGCATGTCGTGCTTGTGTGTGTGAGTTGACTTATTTCCATGACATTTTCATTGCAAAGAACACTATTAAATGAATTTACGTGCGCCACGCAATCTGCATACATAAAATCCTTGATATACACACAGTCCCTGCCCCCCCAACTAGCTGTGTGTGTGTGTGTGAGTTTATTGAGCCAGCGCCTGAAACTATGCAATGTGGAGAAAAAGCGCAAAAAAATGTATAAGAAAAAATTCATAAAGCATCTAACCACATGCTGGAAACGGGAGGAAATCAAGTGAAGTGCGGGTCGCCAATAACTCAATTCAATCATGCAAAGTGCCGTTGAGTCAAGCCAGCAGAAAGGGCGGTAATAGGCGGGGGCGGGGAAATGACAGAATTTGCGAATTGAGCAAATGAAGTCATTTGCATGCATGACAATTGTTATTGCATATTTTTAGGCGCACGCGCTCATACTAAAACTGACAAAATGCCGTCGAACAAAATAAAATCCACATCCCCCCCCTTCCTCACCGACCGACCTCAAATATCTTCGCCCAAATACACACAGCCTCAGAGATCGAACTACCCTTTTATTGTGCATGTCTGCGGCTGAAATTTATGCGCCGCGGCGGCGTAAAAAACTATAAACATCTATAAAAAAAAGGGCAATAAAAACGAATTGGCGACAAAAGCCGGAAATATGAAAATATGTTTTCCCTATAAACAGCGCATAAAGGATAAGACACAAGGAAAGAGTGTCTAAGATGTAGGGAACGGGATTTTCATCGTTTTATAGCCATCAAGTGTGTGCCCAAGAAGTTCGTAGAGATTTAGTGCTGGGTACAGTACTTAGTGATAGAGTTCTGAACAGCTCTGATTGCACAAAAAGTTGAGAGTTGAAGTTTTCTATTAAACTTTTTATATTAATTATCGGCAAATAGAAGGGTAAGGTATTGTTTAGTGCCCAGCAAAATCAGATTTTACAGATGTTGATAGATCGAGTGATCTGAAGGTGCCGTTAACCGAGTTTCTGTTGCAGCTGCTGCGAATGCTGATTATGAAGGACTCAGTGCCGCTCGCCTAGTAGTTGATCACATTCAGGTCGAGGTCATTCTGTCCGAGAAGAAGAAGGTCGTCGCCAAGGCTGCCCTCGATGAGCCCACAAAGAAAAAGCTCTCCAAGAAGAAGCTGCAGCGTCAAAAGATCAAGCTATTTCGCTCTGAATAGAATCTGTTCTGAATCGGGGGCAGTGGCAAGTGAAGCAAATGAACAATACAAACATAAACCGACTACGTGGTCTTATTTAAGATGTGGAACTCAAATTCGTATTGAAAAATCTCCTAAAAATCTTTATGACGCAGATTTATCTCTATCTATGTATTTGTATAGGCAATAAACTCCCTCACAGCTTTTTTTAAATAAAAAGCCCAGATTTGTAATTAATTTTTAGTTAATTTTCATAAAATAATCATTAGTTAGCTGCAGGCTGATTCGACTGTATTTGGGTATCGAAGTGCCTTAAATTTTGTTTGTTTTCTTCTGGCAGGCCTATGGCAGGTTATATCCAGATAGGACACAACACGCCCAAGGGTGCAGTCGATGTCAGCCTTGGCGTTTGACATTTGATGAATTACGCGCAACAACAACAGCCATAGCAACAAAAGCAACAAGAATAGCCAGAACAGCAACAACGGGAACAATTGTCAACTATCTAATTAGACTGGGGACACATTTTTATTGCACTGACACACACCAAACGCACCAAAGTCGCCTTTTTTTTCGAGGTGTGTCCTGTCGCCTTTCACACCAACTGTTGCTGCTGCTGCTGCTGCTGTTGTTGTTGTTGTTGTTGTTGCTGCTGCTGCTTTTGTTTCTAATTAATTAATTAGCTTGATGACAAAATAAACGCGCTCGCTGCCCAACGCTGATGAGCGCTGACGAATCAAACGAGAAACAAAATACAAAAAAAAAAAATTTATAAAAAAAAATTCATTTGAAAAATGGAAAAAACTGAAAATAGGAAAAAAAATAATACGGTTATAGAAATAAGAGTAAAAATCAATAGTGCCCGCCTTGGCACTCTACCCCAGCTGCCATGAGGCTGTCGCAGTTTATCATTTGCGGCTCATAACTTTGTGCAATATGCAGAAGCAGCAGCAGCAGCAGCAACAACAACAACAAGTTGAACGTGAAGAGGCTGAGGCAGAACAATGGGCAACACCCCGCGGCGCAGGGGGCGGCATGTGAAAATCCAAAGCTGTCAATGAGTTATGTTTAGCGCTATCAAAAAATTTGACAGCCCTGGAAGGGAAGTTTCTCTATATGCAAATGCTGCGCGGCTTCCAGGGAGTCCTGCAGTGGGGGGTGGCTGACAGGCTAGCTCAGCTGCGAGGGTGGCAGACGGAAGCGGATGCGAACATTTAAGAAAGTCGTGGCAAATATAAAATCGAAAGGATTGTTCGCTCGTGTGTGTGTGTGTGTGTGTGGGTGTGGGTGTGGGTGTATGTGTGGGATACTTTATTGTCTATCGACTCAAAGTGCTCGCAGCTGAGGCACTTTATTATTTATTGTAAGCCAATGACGTCATTTAAAATTGACTGTCAAACCAAACGGAGCAGTTTGTTTATTAGCACACTTTTCCCTTAAAAATATAGCCAATTTTTTTTTAAATGTTTAGGAACATTCTAGAAGTATTAATAGCAAAAACATTGCAAATAATTATTATCACAAAATATTTTAAAAAACATGGTCACAAGAATCAAGAATAAATAAATTTGTAGAGTCTGCATTTCATATCAAGTCTAATTAACTTATATGTATTTGTATTTATTTATATTTATATTAAATTTTATTTATTGTTCTTTCTTTAGTTGATTTGAATTGAGATGTTAATCTTGTTATGTTGCCTACATTTTGATGGATCCATATTTTAAAATATGAATTATTAAATAGTTGCCAAAAGCTTCAGTTTATGAAATAGTGATTGCATTCGCCTTGTCTAACAGCAGCTGATGCAAGTGGTAAATGGTTAATTGGCACAATAATTGGCGCAATAACAGATGCAGCAAAAAGCAGTAGACACACACACGCTCAATACACATGCAGGAAGACTTCAATTTAAGTGGCAAAGTCGCCCAAAAAGTGCCTCAAACCGTGTGCTGCAACAATAAAATGTGTACACTGCCACTGCAACTGTGTGTGCGTCTGTGTCTGTGTGTGCGTGTGTGTGTTAGTTGTCCGTTTGCATATTTAACAATTTTCGCACTTATTTTTGAGTATTATCGAAAAAGTTTTCCCATCATCAAAGCAGCAACGGCAATTGGCAAAACAACGCACGTTGCTGCTACGTGTGGCAGTTGAGTGTGAATGCGAACTACACACACACACATATACACACAAACACACACACACACACACGCACACACAGCTGTTGTAAGCTCAAATAATAAAGCAAACATTTCAAACATTTGCAGCAAATTTCCATTTGAGTTGCATAATCTGATCAATGCTTTGATGAAATAGTTTCTTATTATGTACACTTTTAATGAAAGAGTTTCAATTCCGGTAATTTGTGATGAATACACTCACGAAATTCATCCTTATGATGCCAATTATGATGAATACTTTGAATTAAATAGTTTGCATTTTCGCAAGTTATGATAAAAATACGAAATACTTTCTTAGTTTCATAGTTATGCATCTTCAAATTATATGAAGCTTAACTATTTATTTGTTATTTTCCTACTTTGTCCCTTTAGTATTAAATGTAATTTCTTCGAGAAGTTGTAACTATAACCTTATCCAAGTCTTTCGCTTGGTAAAGATAATCGATTCAGCGCATATTAAAACTATATAAAAGTAAAAAAAAAAAGATGTAATTCAGTAAGCCTGCATTTAATATTTTAAGCTATTTATTATTATTAAAGGGGTTAGTCTGGCGCTCATTTTATTGAAATACTTTTGTAAATTTGGCTATTGAGTAGACAAAATATATATATGATATCCATTCCAATATTTGCTTTGTGTGTATATATGTGGCTATAATTTGAGTTCTTATGATATTTCAAATATTACCTGTAATCATTCTCGACTTAAACCAAATCTGGCATTGCTTGACGATGCCCATCTATTCCTTATTGTCCTGCACTCTTAAGTTTCTATCAATATTTCTTTTTTTTTGACTTAACACCTGTTTTTGCGCCGCTGCAGCCCTGTTGATCGTCCCGGCTTTTGGCCAACTGTTCATTTTCGGGTCATAGCCATGTTGTCCCTTAGCAATCGCAATTGCAACGCCAATTCCAAATCCAATTCCCATTGTCAGTCAGGACGCTGTAACGCCCAAATTAGCCCAGCAGCAAGACCACAGATCGGCACAGCAAGCCACCACCACCGACGCCAACACCACGAGCCACCAGCCACCGGCCAGCAGCGCACAGATACCGAATCATTCATTCAAAAAGGTACGGAAGACCAACCCAACGAATTACCTATGAAAATTTTTAAACACATTTTATATCCATATTTTTTTTTTCAGCCATAGCCTTATGTAGAATTACAAAAAAAAAAACATTTTTATTGTGTTGAAAGTGACTGTGAAATACTCTTTCTCTTCATTCCTTGACTCTTTCACTTTCATCAGAAATATGTTGTATTTATGTACAAATTTTAATATAATAAGTATATATAAAAATATTTGTTTTCAAAAGACAATATAGTTACTAATTATTTTTTGGAATTTATAGCAATTAAAAATTATATCTTTATAACTTTTAAAGAGAATTTAACATAAAACAGACATTTTTATTTAATATTTATTTCTTATGAAATTTTATTAATATTCATTATTTATTTGTATTTATATTTAAGAAACATTTGTTAAAGGGTATTAAATAGAATTTTTTGAAGAAAAAATATAACAAAATTACCGAAAATATATTCATTCCGTTTTTCTGATAATTTTTGTGCTTAGCATGCGCTCTTGTGCTGTTCTTGTTGTTGTTGTTAATTTATAAAAAACGCTTTAGGCTGCCCAGCGGGCTTTGCGCGGAGGGGCGGGGCACAGACGTGGGCAAGGTGAGGCCAAGTGTCGCTGCCGGGGCAGCGGGTGGGGGCGAATCCGAATGGTGGTGTCGCTATTGTTGGTGGTGTTGGTGGTGGTGGCTTTTACGAGTATGCCCAAAAACTTCAAACGAGATAAATACAATTTCCATTAGGCCTCGCGGAAAATCCCTCGAACCACATTCATACTTTTCTCATGTTTTTATCAGTTTTTTTCTTGTTTTTTTTTTTTTTCGTTTTTTGTATTGATTTTAGGGCTTTTTCACAGTTTTTTGGCCAGGGGCCCGTTGCCCCGCCCCCGCTGGCATCATTTTCTTTTCTGTTTTACGTTAATTTTTTAATTGTAAATATTGCCCAGGGTCGCATTTTTCATCTGCTGCCCAGCTCCATCCCCAGACCTGGCCGCAGACCTGGCCGACCCCGAGTCCATACCCTTAAGGTTCATAATTTCTTGCCTACATCTCCAGCCCGCCCCCCGCCCACTACCCATTGAAGCCTCCCTCCAACCACTTTGTTTACATAATTTGTACGTTACAACGCGCACACGAAACATTTTTTGGGCTACTTTTGCTGGCATTTTTTAATAGATTTTCTGCGTTTTTTTTTTGTTGTATTTCGTATATTCTTTTCCTTTTGCGGTGGGAAATGTGCGCAGTTGCTGCAGACAGCGCGGCGAAGGGCGTGGGGCGGGGGGCGAGGCAAGGCGTTGGGTCCGGCTTGATTAGGTCCACAGTTGTGTGTTCAATTAAATTTTACACTTAGCATTGCAGTGTAGCCCCGAAGCAATGGCAAGGGAACGGCCCGGAAAATGGAAAAACGGAGCAGCTAATCAATTCCAAGCTACTAAAAACATTGCAATCGGATGCAAACGACCGCGCCATACTCTGCTTAGAGTGCTAGAAAGTTCAGTCGAGAAAGAGTCTTATTCCTTTTTGGACTGCTCACTCTCAGTCCTCAATCCCATAGCAGTGATATTTAAGGCGTGGTTAAATGTTGGCGTGGTTACAAGTTAATGCACGAGTATTGGGAAAATTGGAAAAGCTCTCTGGAAGATGTCGACTTTCGGGCTTGCACGCTGCTTTTGGGATGTTGTATATTCCATAATAAATCAAATTAAAATATATATATATATTTAGTAATATCTTCAGAAACTTAGCAAATTAGTTAAA